GGCTCCCCTTTCCCCCTCCCCGGGGCGGGGTGCCCACTGGAGGTGTGGGCCGCGGGCTGCAGCCCTCTCCCGTGGTGCGTGGGCCTGCGTGAGCACCGTCCCGAAGGACCGTGCTATAGGTGGCAGGGACGGCTGGCCGGCTTTGCTGCAGTGCCGTCTGCGTGGTGAGAGCGGACTCGTGGCCGTGGATTGGGGTGACGTGGGTCTCTGTTCTCCTCACAGGCCGAACGAAGACGCGCAGAGCTTGTTTGAGCAAGACCAGAATGGAAGAGTCCGGTGGGGACCTTCCCACCCAGAGAGACACCCTCCTGCCCCAGTTGTGCTGTGATCACGTCACTGTAACAAACCTGTGAGTCTCTGGTGTGCTGTAAGGGGCAGTATGTTTGGCTACTTGTGCTGTTAAGGCTAAAACAACTCCTTAAGAGCAAAATTTTCCCTTTTTTTGCAGCTGCCCTCAGCCAAGAGATACCCTGATTCACAGTCAGTGACAAACACTTATACTGCTGCTTGGGAACAGCTATTTTAATCAGTTACCCACTTCAATGTCTGTTTTGGGTTGTAGTCATTACTTTTCACATGTTATAAAGCTAAGCGGAAGAATGTATGGTTTTTCAGGTGATTTATTTCCCATTTAGGGGTTACACTGAGTGCACTGTTTTCAAGATCCCTTTTGTCAAAGATGGCCAGACTTTATGTGGAATGTAGCAGTCGGTCTGTTGAATTCTTCAGATAGTTCTCTACGTTTTAATGCTTCATGAAGATCTGGCCCTAACTGTGAATATGACCTTTCTTTGAAAGCAGAACTCTGTGCTATCCACGGTCTTGGTACTTAGTAGTACTTAGCACTTGCAATGCATAATGATTATTTTTATTTTTTCTTAGCTGCATTTAATACTGTTCATTTAGTAATGGCTTACTGCATGTGCAAATTACAGTTTTATTTTTTTAAAACGTCTTCTACTGAATAATGTTGGCAACGTGAATGTGGAGACTGAGTAAATATAGTGGTATATGCCTTATTAGGCTCTGTGTTGCTCTTTTGCCAAAAATCCAGGAATATCTGTAGAGTTTTATCCCAGCATGAGTTTGTGTCAGATTTAGAACTCAGTTCTGCAGCTTTGGATGGTTCAGGGGGAAGGAATTATTTTTAAAACTAATTTTAAAACTACATTTCCAGTACCTTGATGGAAATGTTTGTTTTCTAGGGTGGAAGTGCTGAGATCTTTGGTGGCTTTAACTGACCCTCAGGAGGGGAAGCTGGCTCAGTCTCAAGAGAAAGTGAGTGACTAACAGACTTTCCGTGTCTGTTTACTGCATCGTTTCAGAAGAGCCTATAATTAGGTAGTTGAGTTTATTCTAATAATATGTTAGAACTGTTTCTATAATTCACATTTTTGTGAGCTGAACCAAAGTGTGTGTTTGCTGGCTCTGTTCCTCATTGCCCAGCAAGCGATAGTGCGATCAGCAACAGCCTCGGTTCTGCAAGGGTCTCTTCAAGCAGGTGGCAGAGCAGATCAGGTATTCCAGCTGCTACTGGACATCAGGCTTCAGATCACACTGTCTTTTTACCGGCTGAAGAGCCGGCTCTTGCAGACCCTTGGTTGCACCCTCCCCTTGTTTCCACACACAAGCATGGCATGTGCAATCAGTTTTCTTAATCCGGTGGGATTGATGTCTTGAGCTGGCTTGTTTTCTGATTCCCGGAATCTAGTAATGACGTGAGAGCTGAAATCCAAGGAAGGAGTGGAGCTTGTACTTTATGTCACTTTAAAGTAGTCCTGAAACTTGTAGCCCGGATACTTTTGTGGCTTATCTGCCCCTGACCTCCATCAGTGATAGTGTCCTTTAAAATAGGCAGAACATGATGATTATTGGGACAGGAGGTACAGTGGCTAATGCCATAAAGGTTCATAATGGCCAAAAGAAAGTGTGAGAGATTAGGAGGTGGTTTTGTGGATTTCTACAGTACGATAAATGCAGGGCGTCATCTGGAGAGGTCAGTGCTCTCTCTTGGAAGAAGTGTTATGGGGTATTCAGATTTGCTTAGAAACTTTATGCTTATCTGTTAGTAATTGGACCTGCTGTAACCTTTAAGGAAATTTGGTGTGCAATGCTGTTTTAAATTACTTCATATTCTTGTATTGAGTCTTGTGTAAGTCTTCAATTTTAATGTGCATTCATTCCTTAAATAATGTTTTTATTTCAAGCAAAATTGCTTAGGAATCCCTGAAGTACAGCTGCCTGTTATGTTACAGTAATAATTACTTTGCACGGCACAGAATGGTAGTCTCATACCTGGTTCTCATTTCACAGTTGGATTTTTATGCTCCTTTGTATTTTAGGCACTAAACTTGCCGGGCATTTGGAAAACCATACTTGCAGCTGTTCCTGGGCTGGCATCAAAGACCTCAGTGGAGTGACAGCTTGAAGATGGGAGATCAGGATGCAGGTGAACCCTTTCTGGAGATGGCGGCTGGTGATGCCGCAGACTACGAAGGAGCTTTGCCCTCAGACACAGTGTCGCTCAGCGATTCTGATTCCGATGATTTGGGGTTAGCAGATGAAGCAGAAGTTGATACAATATCTCCTGAGGAGCCATCTGTAGATGATGGGGATTGTGGATCAGGGGAGCCCCCTGACTCTTCAAACAGCAGTCACCGATCTCCTGTCCAGCCGTTCCATCTGAGAGGCATGAGTTCTACCTTCTCTCTCCGTAGCCAGAGCATTTTTGATTGCCTAGAAGAGGCAGCCAAGTTGTCTGTGCCCTCGATGCCTGAAGATAATGTTGTCGATGGGAAGTTTAAGCGTCCATTGCCTCCAACCACAGTTTCCGGTAACGTGGTTCCAGAAAGCCTGGGAAAGCAAGCCAAACCAGTGCAGGCTCCCAAAACCTCTCCTGCAGTGCCTGACTATGTGGCACACCCAGAGCGCTGGACCAAATACAGCCTAGATGGTGTTTCAGAGTCTAGTGACAAGAGTAACAGGGCAGTGGCCATGGAATTTCTACAGGGTTTGAAGAAAAGAAGGGAGGAACGAAGCTCAGCTACCCAAGATAGCTATACCCCATACTTCAACCAGGACCCTTCCAGCTGTGGAGCTGGGAGGATTGTCTTCACCAAACCAGCAAAGAGGGGTGTTGATGGACTGGAAAAGAAAACAACAGTAGGGGAGGATGATAAGAAACACATGAAAACGGATCTGAAAGGAAAATCTCTTAAGAAGACTGATGACTTGAGGGAGGAAGATAAGGTAGAGCTGGGGCACTTAGACAGTGGAAGTGGAAAGGCAACAGAGGAGGAGGAGTGCATGATGGCGGGGGAGCTGAGTACAGACAGTAAGCTTAGTGCAAGGTTTAGTGGCGCAGGTGAAGAGCCATTGGTGGAAACAGTTGGATTCCATTGCAGTAAGAAGAAGAATAGGAAAAATTTCCGACCTAAAGTAGATGACGAAGGGGAGGAGGAAGAGTTCTGAAGGATGGAGCACATTGGAGACATCCAAGGACTTGTATTGTCTTTGGACATGTTTGGTTTTTTCTTTGACTTCTTTTTCTAGTCTGGAAACCATGTGATAGCTTTTTGTCTAACAGTTTGCATTGTGGCCACCAAGAACATTATATTGTTAGAAATTAAACTACCTACGATACACTGCAGACTTCTTGTTCATGAGAATTCTGTGGGGACAGGACAGTTGCACCCTAGCAGGAGAGAATAAGGTGCACTTTGTTTGCTTGAGCAGCTCCCTGGGGCTTGCTCTGGAGCTGAAGTAGCCAAAGAAAAAGATGTGTTAGCTATAAGGCTGCAAGGCTTCCTACTAGCCCCCAAATTTAGAGCTGTTCCCAAACCCTAGGGAATTCTGGCACAAAGATTATGAGCTCATTATGTAGAGATTTTTAAACAATGAAAATAAAATCTAGTCTTCCACTAGATGTGATTTCTCCTGGCCCTGTCCCAGGGAGGAAGACAGTTTTGTTTTGTTTTGGGGTTTTTTCCACTTTTTTTTTTTTTTTTTTTTTTTTTTTTTTAGTACATCCTTCTCTCATTGCCATTGAGAGTGAAAGCATGGTTGTGCTGAATCATGAGTTTGGAGGGCCCAGGTGGGAACTGGCAAAACCCAATATTTTTTTAAGGTTGGCTTAATATTTACCTTATTTAGTGTTACATGATAAAGATTTTTAAAAGCACAGTGTTTCCGTGTGGTGAAAGCCGCGCTCAGGATGGCTTCTGCAGAGTCTCACCAGGCTGAGTGTGTGTCAGAATTCACAACAGCTTCAGTCGTTAAGTTGGGCAGCAGCTTTTCCTCTTACTGGTGTGATATGATGTGATGATTCTTGGCCTGCGCATTTGTACGTCCTTTCCAGGTGGCACTGCTTCCACATTGATTCTGTGTGTGGATTTAGTGGGAATGAGGTATTCGCCAGAACTGGATACCTTTTTGTTCTCTGGGATTCAATAAACCTTCTGTTGTAGTTTGATTTCTTCATCTCTTTGAACTGTGCTGATTACTGCAGCTATAGGAGTTTCAACAAATACTCAGTTTATTCGATTTGAGAGCTGTCTTGAAAATCTTCTAGAATGTTACTCTAAGCTTACAGTCTTGTAACTTCTCCCTCAAGTTTTATATTTTAGATTCTAAAATTCACATTTTTAACATTTTCAATCATTTTGCAATATAATACAGAATCACCTCATAGGGTGAATCGCCTCATACAATGAATCACATTGTAATGAATGTCAAATACAGTAGTTTTTCACACAGAATGTTAATAAGTGTTATAAATAAGGTTGAAAGATTAAATTCTTTGAAAGGTTATATGATTTGAAACTCAAATTATTTCAGGTCAGTTTGGACTGACATTTTTTTGCCAGTATCCTACATTGACCAACCCCAATGTTAGTATTTATAACCACGTAGTGAAAGACAACTTCGTTTAGAATTTGTGATCGATCTTGCTGGACTGTGCTTGCTCAAACTCTGATGGGTACTTGAGGAGGTTACTTCCTTTTGGGGGGTGTCAGCAACTTATCAATAACTGACTGGTAGGCCCAAATCATTTGGGTCTTTGTGTTTGAACAGATGAATCATCTGGCAGCAGAAGCAGAAAATAACGTAAAATGAGTAATATTAGTCCATCTTTTGAAATTCACCTTTTTGTTTTAAAAGCAGAATGTCTTTTCTCATGAGTATATGGTTTGATGCACTTTCATTAATGGGTCTTTGCTAAATAGATCAGTTCTTCAGTGCATGTGCATGGGACATAACAATTCCAAATGGATAGATTTTGGTTTCCAGTGGATAATTGATGTGCTGATCAAAATTAAAATAGTGGCCGTTTCAGAATGGAAGCTGCTGCCAAGAGTATGGCACGCTGGTTGTAAGATACGCGTTATTTCCCAACAAAAAACGTAGCTCAGTACAAACTTCCTGGGTTTATAACTTCTGCTTGCCTAGGGTGAAGAACAGGTAGGACCGTACCAAAATTCCATTGCTGTTAATGGGGTCGCTGTGGTCTGGGGCACAGCTGAATAAAGTGGACGCATGCCTGTTTTATGAAGACATCGTAAGCTTAATATCTATTAATAAAAGACTCCTGTTGGAATGGTATTTTTATCAGATCTGAGATTTTTTTTTTCCCCCCCATCTGTGGTAACAGAGATAGCTTTTGCGCAGCCTATGTTTATGTTGCATAGAAGCAGTGTTCTATGCATGAGGACATTAAATTCAGCTGAAGCCTATCAGTGTAAGAAAGACCACAAGCCAATACTTCCCCCTTCTGATGCTGTTTGTAGTATTCCAAAGAAGTTTCACTTTAAAGGATGGTAGTAATATTAATTTTATTGGTGTATCTTTTCATACAAAATTCTAATAAAGCCAGCTAGCTTTTGTGTGCTAAAAAGTACATGTCAGTTTAAGTAATTAAAAAAACCAAAAAGACAAACAGTCTCAAATTCCTAGTTTGTAGGAAAATTCTTGCTACCCATTCTTGCTTTAAAGTCTCTAAGTGATTTTGTTTTTCCTGACCTTTGAGAGAGAAAAGTAAAATGAAATCAGAAAGCCACTTGGGTATAGATGTGGTGTTCCATGTGATGCGATACACAAAGGCAAAGTCTCCAACAGCAGCGAGCGGACAGCAGGTACGATCTGGCATTGAAACAAAAAAGCAAGGAGCAGAGGCTGGGGGTCTGACTGCGGGCAGGTCACCGGCTTCGTGTTTGGAAAGCGGCTGCAAGCCACTGCACGCTTGAGGACCATTCCTGGGGATGAGCAAGGCACCCTCGATGAGGAACGGGGACAAAAGAATAACTCACAGAAGCCAGCGTGGGAAGAGAAGACGGTGAGTGCAATCATTGGAGGGTTGTAAGAACTCCAGGAACCGTTTGGATTGTAGTAGTTCAGTATCCCAGGCCCTTTCCTGTAGAAACTATTTCTTGATTTCCTTTCTAAGCAACTCAGAATTACGAGCTTGCTTTCTTGGCCAAGGAAGTGGCTTGGTTTTTAGTGCACGAATGATCACCCTTCCAAAGGGAGACTCCCTTGAACAGAGAAATGTGGGAATTAGCAGTGATGATGAGGGACCGAGGGTGTGGTATTTGGAGAACAGAAGGCAGATCATATTTAGAAAATAAGGTGGTAGAGTCATCCCAGAGGAGAAAGATTTAGTGTGATTTGTGGAATGGAGTTTTGGAGAAATGATCAGGCGATACAGGAGCAGGAGGGAAGAACGCCCAAGAAATCGAAGGAGGAAGACCAAGAAATCCTCAGTAGTGTCAAACATTGGCAGTGCTTGGGGTAAAGGCTTTGCAAGCTGGGCCTTAGGCCTTCATGAGATGAAGATCCTACTTCTGCAGTAGTTCAGTAGGAAAAAAGGCTTAATCTGAAGAAATGAGAATAATATTTAATTATCAATGTATGTGATGTCAGTCTTGGACTGATCTGCACACTCTTCTCCGCTTCTTTCTGGCGAAGCCACTTCTGTGTTTTCATTCATCACACCTAATAGGATTGTAAAAGCCATGTGCTTGTTTAAAAGCCTTAGGACAAGGGGCACATAATAGTAATTCCTTAAGAAACTTTAAAATGTTGACAATATTCCACAATAGAAAAATACTGTAGATTCTGCTACTTGGCATTTGCTCAGTAAATGATAAGATCAGGTTTCTTCTTTTATTTTTCAGCTATTTAAGTTTCTGATTTTTATGCAGTTACAGTATTAAAATGCCTGGGGAACTTGCTACAGGATGGTTTTTCTTATTGGAATGTTGATAATGAAGCAATTTCCCTGGGTGTTTTATAAGCTTCTAACAGAATTAAGTCAAGTTGGAGGTTAGTTTGAGTCTGAGTGACTTGAGGTCTTGTCATGTCACGACTTTGCTGAGTTTCCAGCTACTGCTTTTTCCCCAGTTTATGGGGTTTGGAGGGCTTTTTGTGTAACAGATAGTAATAGATATTGAAATAGATCATTAAGAAGAATATCCAAAATCTTTATCGTGTTGGATATCCTGCGGTGGCTGACAAATAGTCTGTTTCCATCTCTAATGTTTTAAGCTCCAAAGAGTGGAGCCCTGGGACACAGGACAAGACTCTTAACTGACAGAAGTAGTTGCAGCTCTGAAGGCAAAAGAGCTGTGTTGATTAAAGCAAAGTAGGAGGCGTGCTCAATTTTTATTCTTAATGATTATTGTTATCTGTGTTAAATGTTTTGGTAATACTTCGGTAGTATTCATTGACTCAAGAAACCCTCAGGACAGTGCTCTCAAGAAACCCCATGGCAAATAGATACTGATTTACATGCTTAGAGTCGGGTGAGATCATTCTAGCTCACATTAAGTGACAGCCCTTTCCCCAAAGCTTTTAGATATATTTTGTAAAAGGTAACTTTTTCATTCTGAAGTATGAATATTCCATTCCTTGTTTATATTCCCATTACATTTAGGCACCTGCTTATGTAGTTCTTTTCTAATAATTTTTTTTTCTTCTTGCATTTTTTTAACTAAATTGCTCAGCTGTTTTAACTAGCTTTTCCATGATTGTTTTCAATACTTACATGTGTAGTTTGGAGCTGGTGGGTTGCACAAGAGGTCAGTTTTGGTTAAAGCCTCTGCCACTGAGGAGATAACAGCTGTGCAGTAGCAAATCTACAAAATAGTTCGCAATTTCTACGTCAGCTAATTGTTGTAGTACTTTAGCCATTCTTAAATTTGCAAGAAAGGTAATCCAGGCAGCAGACTGAAGCAGCATCAGAGATACCATGTATAATTATTTATTTTTAAAAGAAATAGGAACTGTCTTGGAGGAAGATTTGTATTAAATAACTTCCCTTTTTTGTGAGTGTATGGCATTATCCCAAGCTGACACAAACCGTTGGACCTGTATTTGGTGTCAGCATTGTTCATTGAATAGCATGACTTTTTTTCAGGAAGCCATAAAACGGGTAAGAAAGAGGAGGGAAAGTGCAATGGGAGTGTTAAGGCATTTTCAGCACGCCAAAGTTACGCTGGAGAGTCCTAGGGACAAAGAAAACAGTAACAGCTGTGCTACGTAGCACATGGTAATGCTGAGCATTCTCAGACTGTTTAAAAAATGTTTATTTATATTTCAAGGGTTTGTCATCAAAAGCTAAAGATAGGGTTTCCTTCTCTTATTTGTGTTTCAAGTTTGTGTGTTAAACGCTTCCCTTTGAGACGTTGGTATCTGGTATCTAAGAAAATGAGAAAAACTGATGTCCAAGAAGATTAGTCTAGGTCAGATCAGACAGAATATGGGTATTTTCATAGTTGACAGTTTTAAAGAAAGAAAAGGGGTTGGGAGAAGGAAGAGAATGGAGGAGGGAAGATGAAGCATTTGCTTCCAGAAGCATCCTTAACAAAGGAAATAAACACTTCTTAGGTAGACTAGCAAAGAGAGCAAGAAATGCTGTATTCCCCTTTCTGCTTTCTACCAGAGGTCAGAAATGTTTCTTTCCATATGTGCATCACCAGAGAAAAAGCAATAAGGAAACTGAAACCATAATACAGGTCCATTTCTCTTTCCCTTTTTTTTTCTGCCAAACCACCACTGAATGAGAGAAACATGGTGAAATCCTAAAGCTGATATAAATGCCTATAAAACTGTTACTTACCTGGGCTTCCATAACTTTAAGCCGCTTTTCTTGTTCTTTCAATCCACTAAAATATTTAGACAAATTATCCACCCTGTGGAAACAAAGCACAGATGCTGAGCAAAAGGAAAAGGCTTCAGAAGAAACCCTGAACCAGAAGACTCACGTAACTTACTAGAGCCATGGCCCCTCACTGGCAGTTCTGTGCAGCTGAGACATCCCAGAGCCCCCTACAAGTTTTGTCCTTTTGAGCTCTTCCTGCAAGTATTTATTGAACAGAGCAGTGTTCCTGGGACACTCTCACACAGCTGTTGCCTGGGGACTCATAAACTCACATGGATTACAGCGGCTGTTCGGCTTCTGGTGAGGGCCGCTTAGCCCCAGCTGTTGTGGAAATCAAGGACAGCAGAAAGGAGCCTTTGGTCCAGCTCTGTCTCTCCAGCCAATTACGTCCTGCCTGTACCCAGTGTAACTGAACCTGGTGTGAGAACTGAGGCCACAGTATTTTCCATCAACACGACAGAGATGAGCCACTTAAAATTTGTACAAGGTTTCATTTTTGGAAACTGGCTTGACACCGAAATCCCTTTTCCTGTCCAGTCTGAAGGGACTGTGTAGAGAACTTCCGTATAGTGCCTCCAAATTGCTGTACTGTCCACATGCTTTCTGCATCCTTCACCTCTTCCCCCGTCAGTTCCTTATTTTTAGCATATGATTCCCCATAGGCTCCTCAAATCTGCTTTGTCCTAACTACTATTTCAAAGTTTCCCTCTAACGGGATATGTTCCAGTCAGGTCTATGTGAAAAAGCTGCTGCTGGATGGGTCTAGTGCAAAGTGGACTGGTTCAATGCAAAGTTCAAAGAATCACTTTCTGAGGGTTTCCTAAGATTTCAAAGACATGCCGCTACCAAGTGAGAGCAAAGATAAAAAGCCAGGGGTTTAGTGGTGTTCATCCGAACCTCTTCCAGTCTCTTTCTGGCTCTGCTATACCTGAAATACTGTGAAGCCAGACCGATCCTTTTCCCCTCCAAGCAGCAACTTCACCTACAATATCCCACCTTTAAAGATTCCTAGCTTTAAAGCTAGAAAGAATATATTTGTGCCCTTTGTTTGGAAGTGACATAGTTATTGCTTGATCTCAATAATCGGGCTCTTATTCCTAGGGTTTGTCAGTGATGTGCTTTTGAGAATAAAGTTTAAACCAACATAATAATCCTAAATTATTATGAATAAAGAGTCTATGTAGATCAGAGGGAGAAGAGTATTTTCTAAGAACATACTCAAGTACACTCTTTTGGTCTCCAGCTATTCTGTGAGTTAGACAGACTGAAGTTTGTTTTGAAAGCACAGAAGGAAAACAGACAGCACAAGAACATTTCCATGGAACTTCCTTATTATGGTAACTTTCACACCCATTGTGCCTCTGCTTGAAGTCGGTTTTATCATAAGATGAAACAGCTGAAATGGGTGTTAA